TGAAGGGGCAATATATTTCATATATAAAAATATATGGAAAAATATTGTCCTATATGGTTCATAGATTCTTTGTTTTATTTCGCTGTATTTTCCTTTTAGTTGTATTCTCTAAAATTAATGGTCTGTTTCTTAATTCTTTTAATGATTATCTTGATAGCTTTACCTACCCTTAAACCTCTGTTTATTGAGTTAGCACCTTAAAACTATTCATTGATTCTTTACTATGAAAGATGAGATTAGGACAGTAACCCTTCTCACCTCTTCTACCTTCCTTCCACCACCCAATTTTATAGTCAATTATAATCACTTAGTTCTTTCAATGATTCCCATCATCCTTTTAAATAATATATACCTGTCGTTTACTTTATCTCCTTATCTGCTTTAAATAATATCTCAGTCTGCAGCAGTAAAAGATGAGAAAATCAAATGCTCATACTGTCTGTCCTTTCTTCCCCTTCCCTCCAAATTTTTGTTAAATTACATTATTATTTTTGTTATTATGATTTACAATGTTCTTTTCAGTATCTAAAATTGCTACGGTGATTTAGCTTTGGTTCTGTGGTTGCAGAGATTCAGCATCTATTGTTCACTTAGTCTCACATTCTCTGTTGATCTCTTGGGAGACTCACTTTTACCATCAAGTAGTTTGGCTCACTTCTTTGGGCTTATATCCCTGATCTTGCATCCTTAAACTTACATATGTTTGTCCCTTTTATACATGAACAACAACTTGATTGGGTATAAAAATTTCCTATTTTTTTCCCCAAGTAACATTGTAGAGATCCTTTAATTATTTTCTAGCATTGAATGTTGCTGTGATAAATTCTTGAGGGCAGCCTGAATTTTTCCTTTATATAGAGTAGCTGAATTTTTGCCTGGATGCTCACTGGACACTTTCTTTACCTAGGTGCATCTTGTTGATTGTTCTTAACCAACTTTTCCTAAGACCCAATGTGCCCTTTTAATCTTTAGATTCAGGATTTCACTTCAAGAACATTTTTTCTATTATGTCTCTCTATATTTTTTTCTGTTTCACTTGGTCTTTTATTATTGAACACCAGTTACATATATGTTAAATTTGCTTTACCACTATAGATCATTTAAACTCTTTCATCATTTCAATTACATTTTTCTTAATTTTTTCAAGTTTTCCCTCCATATCCCTGACCATGGTTTTGGTAGTGTCTGCTCTCTTTTTTACTGCTTCCAGTTTGAATTTTATTAATATTTCCTTAGTGATTTTATTTTTCTCTACCATTTCTTTCCTGAGTTCTACTGGCTCAATTTCATCTTTTTATTCTACTTATCCTCTGTTGTCCTATCTGTCCTTTTAGGTCTTGGTCTGTCTTTGCACTTTTATTTTAGAACATGTTATATTTAATTACTTTGCTATCATGGAAATAGATCAGTCAATGATTTTCATTGGTCTGGTTTTTCTAGTATGTACTTTTTGCCTGGCTTTCATTTCCAGTTTCCTTTTTTTTCTTGCAATATCTTTTCCATAGGTCATATGCTGGGTTTTTTTTGTTATTGTTCCTCTTTGAATAAACCCTCTTTTTGGAGTGAGCTCATTACGAAATCAGTTTGGAGTATGACTATTTTTGCCCAGGACTTTCTTACCAATACTCTGCCCTAAGATTATAACAATACCACTGATGTGTAGTACATTTCATCATGAATTATGTTGTGGGTCTGTATGGTATAGGTCCTGGAGTGGGGATTTAGCATTTTCTCTCTTCAGTGGAACAAAATGATTTGCCAAAATGGCAGAGCCCCTCGCTGTCTAGTTTCTCATCTCATTGCTACTATACTGACAGCCTACATCTTACAGACATGGCTGGTCTGCACATTTCACCATTCAGTACCATCTCTTTTGCCATTCTTCAGTTTTAGAATGGACCCAGGGACCTACCAGTAGTGCTTTGGCACACACAGCTCTGCACATTCCAAGAAGGGACACTTGGGTATGGACTGCAAGATGCCAAATACTGACGGTCGACAAAGACTCACACGTCAGCACTCTAGTTCTTCCCTAAACCAGGTCCTGTCACGTTTGGTTGTGACTTTTCTAACTCTATCAAAAATTGAGGGTTTTTTTTTTCCTGTCTTGGTGTTTTAATTGATTTCAGGGAGAAAACCAAGACAGATAGGCCTTTGTACTACCATCTTTGGCTAAATATGGATGTTTAAATAATCATTTTTTCCTTCCTATCAGATTCAAATGTATATGGACTGTTAATTAAATACTCTTTGGGGATTCCATTTTTCTGCAGGTGTTTTGTTTTACTGCATTTTACCTACTAAGCGGCATTATCGCTGTGCTCTGATTGCCCTCAAATATGGTGCAGATGTCAACAATTGTTCCTATGAAGGAAAACCAGTATTCCTTAGAGCTTGTGAAGAAGCACATGATGTTAAGGAACTGTGCCTGACATTCTTGGAAAAAGGAGCCAATCCCAACACTATCAACTCAGTATGACTATTCCTGTGATTATAAATATTTCTTTTTTTCAATTACAGAGTAATTATATAATTTTTGCATTTAAGTATGATAACATTATCCTGTTGGCTTGTAGAATCTTCATTTTGACTCAGAATGCTTGAAGATGGTATACTTTCATTGTCTTTATATTGTCATGATTTTATAGTCTATTTCCTAATTATGTTTGGAAAATTGGTATTTATTATATACAATGTCAAAGTATTATTATAGGAAATAGTAAAAAGATATCAGTGATGCCTAATAAAAATTTTTCTTCTTGAAAAGAAACTATATAGTTCTGCTGTTTCTCTGATTCATTTTGTTCTCTCTCCTAATTTTATTGAGTTTTCTTTTCTTGTAATTGTCCTTTCTAGACACTAT